AGCAACCATAATTTTTTATGATTAATATGCTCATTATGATCAATATCATCATAATGAGCGTCATGGTTATCAAAATCATCATAATGAGCATCATGGTTGCCATTGCAACCATAATTTATTATGACTAATATGCTAATTATGATCAAGATCATCATAATGATCATCATAGTTGCCATGGCAACCATCATTTATTATGATTAATATGCTAATTATGGTCAAAATTATCATAACGATCATCATAGTTGCCATAGCAACCACAATTTATTATGAATAATATGCTATACATGATCAAAATCATCATAATGAGCATCATGGTTGCCATTGCAACCATCATTTATTATGATTAATATGCTAATTATGATCAAAATCATCATAATGAGCATCATGATTGCCATGGTAACCATCATTTATTATGATTAATATGCTAATTATGATAAAAATCATCATAATGAGCATCATGGTTGCCATAGCAACCATCATTTATCATGATTAATATGCTAATTATGATCAAGATCATCATAATGATCATCATAGTTGCCATAGCAACCATCATTTATTATGATTAATATGCTAATTATGATCAAAATCATCATAATGAGCATCATGGTTGCAATAGCAACCATAATTTATTATGATTAATATGCTCATTATGATTAATATCATCATAATGAGCATCATGGTTATCAAAATCATCATAATGACCATCACGGTTGTAATGGCAACTATCATTTATTATGATTAATATGCTAATTATGATCAAATTCATTATAATGAGCATCATAGTTGCCATATCAACCATAATTTATTATGAATAATATGCTAATTTTGATCAAAATCATCATAATTAGCATCATGGTTGTTATGGCAACCATAATTTAATATTATTAATACGCTAATTATGATCAAGATCATCATAATGAGCATCATAGTTGCCATGGCAACCATCATTTATTATGATTAATATGCTAATTATGGTCAAAATCATCATAATGATCATCATTGTTGCAATAACAACAATCATTTATTATGATTAATATGCTAATTATAATCAATATCATCATAACAATCATCATAGTTGCCATAGCAACCATAATTTATTATGAATAATTTGCTATATATGATCAAAATCATCATAATGAGCACCATGGTTGCCATATCAACCATCATTTATTATGATTAATATGCTAATTATGATCAAAATCATCATAATGGGCATCATAGTTGCAATGGCAACCATCATTTATTATGATTAATATGCTAATTATAATCAAGATCATCATAATGATCATCATAGTTGCCAAGGAAACCATAATTTATTATGATTAATATGCTAATTATGGTCAATATCATCATAATGATTATTATAGTTGCCATAGCAACCATCATTTATTATGATTAATATGCTAATTATGATCAAGATCATCATAATGATCATCATAGTTTCCATAGCAACCATCATATATTATAATTAATATGCAATATATGATCAAAATCATCATAATGAGCATCATGGTTGCTATGGAACCATAATTTATTATGATTAATATGCTAATTATGATCAAAATCATCATAATGAGCATCATGGTTGCCATGGTAACCATCATTTATTATGATTAATATGCTAATTATGATCAAAATCATCATAATGAGCATCATGGTTGATATGGCAACCATCATTTATTATGATTAATATGCTAATTATGATCAAGATCATCATAATGATCATCATAGTTGCCATGGAAACCATCATTTATTATGATTAATATGCTAATTATGATCAAGATCATCATAATGATCATCATAGTTGCTAAGGAAACCATCATTTATTATCATTAATATGCTAATTATGGTCAAAATCATCATAATGATTATTATAGTTGCCATAGCAACCATCATTTATTATTATTAATATGCTAATTATGATTAAGATCATCATAATGATCATCATAGTTTCCATAGCAACTATCATATATTATGTATAATATGCTAATTATGATCAAAATCATCATAATGATCATCATAGTTGCTATGGCAACCATAATTTATTATTAATAATATGCTAATTATGATTAAGATCATCATAATGATCATCATAGTTTTCATGGCAACCATCATTTATAATGATTAATATGCTAATTATGATCAAGATCATCATAATGATCATCATAGTTGCATGGCAACCATCATTTATTATGATTAATATGCAAATTATGATCAAAATCATCATAATGAGCATCATGGTTGCCATTGCAACCATAATTTATTATTAATAATATGCTAATTATGATTAAGATCATCATAATGATCATCATAGTTGCCATTGCAACCATCATTTTTTATGATTAATATGCTAATTATGATCAAAATCATCATAATGAGCATCATGGTTGCCATGGCAACCATGATTTATTAGGATTAATATGCTAATTATGATCAAGATCATCATAATGATCATCATAGTATCCATAGCGACCATCATTTATTATGATTAATATGCTCATTATGGTCAAAATCATCATAATGATCATCACGGTTGCCATATCAACCATCATTTATTATGATTAATATGCTAATTATGATCAAGATCATCATAGTGATCATCATAGTTGCCATGGCAACCATCATTTATAAAGTATAATATGCTAATTATGATAAAAATCATCATAATGAGCATCATGGTTGCCATAGCAACCATCATTTATTATGATTAATATGCTAATTATGATCAAGATCATCATAATGATCATCATTGTCCCATTGGAACCATCATTTATTATGATTAATATGCTAATTATGATCAAAATCATCATAATGAGCATCATGGTTGCCATGGTAACCATAATTTATTATGATTAATATGCTAATTATGATCAAGATCATCATAATGATCATCATAGTTGCCATGGAAACCATCATTTATTATGATTAATATGCTAATTATGATCAAGATCATCATAATGATCATCAAAGTTGCCAAGGAAACCAACATTTATTATGATTAATATGCTATATATGATCAAAATCATCATAATGAGCATCATGGTTGCCATGGCAACCATCATTTATTATTATTAATATGCTAATTATGATCAAGATAATCTAATAATCATCATAGTTGCCATTACAACCATACTTTTTTATGATTAATATGCTAATTATGATCAAAATCATCATAATGAGCATCATGGTTGCCATGAAAACCATCATTTATTTTAAATTATATGCTAATTATGATCAAAATCATCATAATGAGCATCATGGTTGCAATGGCAATATCATTTATTATGATTAATATGCTAATTATGATCAAGATCATCATAATGATCATCATAGTTGCTATAGCAACCATCATTTTTTATGATTAATATGCTAATTATGATCAAAATCATCATAATGAGCATCATGGTTGCAATAGCAACCATAATTTATTATGATTAATATGCTCATTATGATCAATATCATCATAATGAGCATCATAGTTATCAAAATCATCATAATGAGCATCATGGTTGCCATAGCAACCATCATTAATTATGATTAATATTTTAATTATGATCAAAATCATCATAATTAGCATCATGGTTGCCATGGCAACCATAATTTATTATGATTAATATGCTAATTTTGATCAAAATCATCATAATTAGCATCATGGTTGTTATGGCAACTATAATTTATTATTATTAATATGCTAATTATGATCAAGATCATCATAATGAGCATCATAGTTGCCATGGCAACCATCATTTATTATGATTAATATGCTAATTATGGTCGAAATCATCATAATGATCATCATTGTTGCCATAACAACCATCATTTATTATGATTAATATGCTAATTATGATCAAAATCATCATAATGAACATCATGGTTGCCATATCAAACATCATTTATTATGATTAATATGCTAATTATGATCAAGATCATCATAATGATCATCATAGTTGCATGGCAACCATCATTTATTATGATTAATATGCTAATTATGGTCAAAATCATCATAATGAACATCCTGGATGCCATAACAACCATCATTTATTATGATTAATATGCTAATTATTATCAAGATCATCATAATGATCGTCATAGTTGCCATGTCAACCATCATTTATTATGATTAATATGCTAATTATGATCATGATCATCATAATGATCATCATAGTTGCCATGGGAACCATCATTTATTATGATTAATTTGCTAATTATGTTCAAAATCATCATAATGATCATCATGGTTCCCATAAAAACCATCATATATTAGGATTAATATGCTAATTATGATAAAGATCATCATAATGATCATCATAGTTTTCATGGCAACCATCATTTATAATGATTAATATGCTAATTATGATTAAGATCATCATAATGATCATCATAGTTGCATGGCAACCATCATTTATTATGATTAATATGCAAATTATGATCAAAATCATCATAAATAGCATCATGGTTGCCATTGCAACTATCATTTATTGGGATTAATATGCTAATTATGATCAAAATCATCATAATGAGCATCATGGTTGCCATGGAAACCATCATTTATTATGATTAATATGCTAAGTATGATCAAGATCATCATAATGATCATCATAGTTGCCATGGCAACCATCATTTTTTATGAATAATATGCTTGTAAAGGATATCGGATAATAGACTATAGAACGAGAGTATTAATAACCACTGTAAACTATTGAACAAGAGAGTTAGATCTAGACCACGTTGTGTGTTTGTTATCTCGGCTCGTTACAACTGGTGGCAGCGGTAACGCGCAAGATGTCGGCTGCAATTTTTCCGCGGAAATTTGATGATGGTGATTTCGACGCTTGGTTACGCGAGTTTGGTGCCTGCTGCACTGCAAATGGTTGGAAAGTCACGGAGGAAAGCGATGTAAAGATCCTCAAACTTCCGCTTTCTTACGTGGTCGAGCCGCAAGTAACTTCCATGCTATTCCTGTGGCTGAGAGGAGAACTTACCACGATGCCGTGAAGTCGATGCGACGAGCCCTCTGTCCCGAAGCTAAACGCAAAAATTTCTTCGCTGAGTTCGAGTTGCGAACCTTGCGACCCGAAGAGGATCCGGCCGTGTACAAATGGGAATTGGAGAATATCCTTTCGAAAGCTGACCCATCTCTTTCCAATGATGCCAAGTCCGCGTTGTTGACGAGACAATTCTCGAAGGGTCTACCACCGACTCTGAAGCTAAAAATGTTGGAGCATAACCCTACCCCAACATTGGCCCAAATAGTTAAATTTACCCAACGATTTCGTGCGCTTAGCCAGCCGACGGCAGAGACTGCTCGTGTTCATATTGACGCTGTCACCCGCCCACCGCCTCCACCCGATCCACAGTTGAAAGAGATTCTCACCATGGTTGCTGGCATCGCAGAGAAACAACAAGCACTCGAGAACCGCCTGAACCGTACAGAGCCTTCTGCAAACTCCTCCACTCGATCGTCGTTCACGGGTACCTGTTATTCGTGTGGTTTCCCAGGACATTTCTCTCGAGATTGTACACGACAGCGACCCTTCAGTGGCCGTCGAACGATGATTTGCTACTGGTGTGGGAAACCTGGTCACATCGCACGAGAATGCCGATCATCGCGTCATTTAAACTACTACGGGATGGACGGAAAGTCGGTGGAGATCGTGCCCATCCTGTACTAAGTACAAATATTATTGATAATTGTACAGTTTTCCACCCATTTGTTGACTGTTTTGTGGACCAAGTTCGTGTTCGTGCTCTCATTGACTCAGGATCAATGAAATCATTTCTAAGTAAGGCGGTTCAGAGAACAATTGACTTTGATGAGAACAAATTGAACACGAACAAGAAAGAGAAATGTGTCTCCATTACGGGGCACCCTGTAAATATTCAAGGACACTTATCTAGTAGTGTCAAATTTCTAGGATCTCGTGCATGTTTTAACGGGAAATTTTTAGTTAGTAATAATGTACCATATGACTGTGTTCTTGGCTGGGATTTTATCAGTCAGAATAATTTATCTATATGTAAAGATGTCAACCTAGGTAATTATATGTTAGTTGGCAAACATGGGGCTACCCCCATAATCCCTTCGCAATCGTCTAAGAAGGCAGATCGAGCAGGAGTCATTGAGTCGAGTCCTCCACACGTGCATGCGGATTCGACCGTTGGGCGTTTGTTGTGTCAATCCCGCTTTCAAGGGAACACCGGTGTTTCTTTGGTTGAGAGTGTAATGATTCCACCACGAACGGAAATTATTTTAGAGGGGAAATTGGCCAAACGTGCCAACAGTAGCATAGGTTTAATAGAGCCACGTTCTGGGGGCAGCACTGCCGCTAGACAAGGGTTTAGTATTGCACGTTTTGTCGTAAAGCCTGACAACAGAATTGTGCCTTTTCGTGTTCTCAATACGTCTAATAGCCCGATTGAACTGACTGCAGGTGAAAATTTAGCAGATTTTTGTCCTTTGATTGAGTCGTGCCTGTCTCGGACCAACATTTGCGGGGCGGTTGGGAATAAGTCACCGGCAAACGATATTTCAGATAACATCGAGTCTATAATTGACTCGTCTTTACAAGTGGAAGATAGGGCCAAGCTAAGGAGTTTGTTACTCGAGTTTTCCGACGTTTTTGATAATAATCTAGGGCACACCAACATTTTGACACATGAAATTAACACCGGAAATAGCACACCAATTAAGCAACACCCTCGCCGCATCCCGTTTGCTCACCGTGAGGAATCTGAGCGTCAGATTACTGAAATGCTTGAAAAAGGCATAATACGCGAGTCGACTAGTCCCTGGTCTAGTCCTATTATATTGGTTCGAAAGAAAGATGGCGAAATGCGCTTCTGTGTCGACTATAGAAAACTCAATTCGGTCACTGTTGGCCACGCGCACCCTTTGCCTCGCATTGATGATATTCTGGATTCATTAGGACACTCACAATATTTTTCAACATTGGACTTAAAAAGCGCCTACTGGCAGATTTCTGTAAACGAAACAGATCGTCATAAAACTGCTTTTGTCACACAACGCGGCTTATTTGAGTTTAATAGAATGCCGTTCGGTCTTGTAAACGCGCCAACAACGTTTCAAAGAGCTATGGATCTTGCCCTTAGTGGTCTTTCTTACGTAATCTGCTTATGCTACTTAGACGATGTCATCGTATTTGGTCGCGATTTTGTGAACATTACAATAGACTTAAGACGGTTTTAGAGAGATTGCGCTTGCACGGGCTCCGCGTTAAACTTGAGAAATGCACAATTGCAGCGCGCAAAGTCAAATTCTTAGGACATTTAGTTTCCGAAGGTGGTATCATGCCTGATCCCGCAAAAATTGAAGCTGTCAACAACATTTCAAGCCCACGCAACGTCAAAGATGTACGAAGTTTTTTAGGCCTTGCAAGTTACTACCGTAAGTTTATTCCAGGATTCTCATCCATTGCTGCGCCCTTACTGCGATTAACACAAAAAGCCGCGAATTTTCTTTGGAGTGCTGCATGCGAACAGGCGTTTCAACGACTAAAACAATTATTATGCTCTTCGCCCATTCTGGCCTACCCTGACTTCGCCAGGGAATTCGTTTTGCAAACTGATGCGTCTGATTACGGCGTCGGCGCGGTTTTATCGCAACTTGACGATCTTGGGAACGAAAAAGTAATTGCATATGCGTCCAGAACCCTCTCCCTGCGCGAACAAAAATACTCAACGACCGAAAAAGAAGCATTAGCTGTTGTCTTTGGTACTGCTCATTTTCGCGTATATCTTCTAGGTCGCCATTTTAAGCATTACTGACCATAATGCCTTACGTTGGCTGCATACCATGGAGGCCAAAGGTCGTCTTGCGCGGTGGATTATGGATTTACAAGAGTTTGATTTTTCGGTCGTTCATCGTGCGGGTCGAATTCATAACAATGCAGATGCGCTCTCTCGCCTTGTTAAACCTACTTTAGCAGCGTCCCCTTCAAGCCAACAACCAACATTGGTTTCGACAATACGTGTTAAATTACCTGGGGGACGTACCGCGTTTGTTAAATTGGAGAGCAGTAAGCCACTAATAGTTGACCTAGACGGTACTTTAGTTACACTTCCGAATAGCCTTTGTACAGACCCCTCCCATTCCGCTCCGGAAACACAACTAGTTAATACAATCACATTAAACCCAACCATGAACCTCAGAGATAGTCAACGCAATGACCCACACTTAGCAACTATACTCAACATGAAAAAGCGCAATTTGCCCAAACCAACTTTGAATCGCGATCAAGAGCCTGCGCTAAAGCGTTGGCTTCGGCACTATGACCAATATTTTCTGCATGATGGCATTCTATATAGAGCTCTTGGCAACCGAAAGGCATCGCATAACCATCCGAACAATGTCATATTGATACCCTCCAACTTACAAACAAACATCCTGAAAACACTGCATGATGGGCCACTCGGGGGGCATTTAGGTATCACTCGCACAGAGGAACGCGTCCGAAGGAAATTTTACTGGCCTGGTATTCGTCAAACCGTTTCGCAACATATACAAACGTGCAACGTTTGTAATCAAAAGAACTCCCCAAATAGCAAAAACTCGGCGCCTTTAGGCCACATTTCAGTCGGTCAACCTTTCACTTTTTGGGCAATGGATTACATTAGACCATTGCCAGAGACCAGTCGAGGAAACAAACACATTTTAGTTGTTGTTGATCATTTCACTAAGTGGTGTGAAGCGTTTGCGACACCCGATCAAAAAGCCAGCACAGTTGCGCCACTCCTCGTCAGTCGCATTTTCTCTAGGTTTGGTCCCCCAGCAGTCTTGCATTCAGACCAAGGCAGAAATTTTGAGAGCACACTGCTGCATGAAGTATGTAATTTTATAGGTATAACGAAAACGCGCACTACCAGCTACCATCCACAGTGTGACGGACAGACAGAGCGCCAAAACCGCACAATTCAAGCTATGCTTTCTTCCTTTGTTTCTAATAGGCGAGATGATTGGGACTTGTGGCTGGATTCAGTCACGTTCGCTTACAATACTAGCAAACACGACGCACTAGGCATGTCTCCGTATGAGGTAGTTTTTGGCCAATTACCTAGATTACCAGTTAAATTAGAATTAGGCATACCACTAACAACACCATCCACCCAGAGTGAATATTTACGGTCAGTTAGGTCCGCATTTTATGATATTAGACGCATAGCAGAGGAACATTTATCAAAAGCATCGGAAAAAGAGGCATGGCTCAATCAACCGACACATACTTGGCGGCCTTTCAAATCGGGCGAAACAGTCATGTTGAAAAGACCAAAAGGTTGGAAGTTCGGACATAGATGGACGGAGCCTCATAGAATCTTAAAACGGGTTGGGGTAGACTATCAAATTGTTTCAAAGGGAGGGAAGGTGATGGTCGTCCACCACGACCATTTAAAGCGCAGCTTTATCCCGTTTCAAGAGGGCGAACCGGTTTGCCCTAGTAGGGAAGTAGGTGAGTTCAACATGGTTGATGTTACACCTCAACAAGACGGAATTGACGGAGTTCCTCGTGCTCGACCTGCCAGACTTAGACAAAACATTAATCCGCCATCAAGATACGGCTTTGATTGAAAGAATGTCCTCAGGACGAGAAGATAAGGAGGAGGATGGTGTAACGGATATTGGATAATAGACTAATTGTTAAAATGTAGACTAAGAAAATCGAATAAGGAAACATAACTTGCCGCGGATGGACCATTGCAAGTGCTTCCGAGATTAATATATAAACATAGCCGTAACACATAAATATAGATTCATAGATAATTAAAGGAAGCATACAAGCCCTATAGAACGAGAGTATATATAACCACTGTAAATTATTGAACAAGAGAGTTAGATCTAGACCACGTTGTGTGTTTGTTATCTCGGCTCGTTACATGCTAATTATGATCAAAATCATCATAATGAGCATCATGGTTGCCATTGCAACCATAATTTATTATGATTAATATGCTAATTATGATCAATATCATCATAATGAGCATCATAGTTGTCATGGAAACCATAATTTATTATGATTAATATGCAAATTATGATCAAAATCATCATAATGAGCATCATGGTTGCCATGGCAACCATAATTTATTATGATTAATATGCTAATTATGATCAAGATCATCATAATGATCATAATAGTTGCCATATCAACCATCATTTATTATGATTAATATGCTAAGTATGGTCAAAATCATCATAATGATCATCATGGTTGCCATAACAACCATCATTTATTATCCTAATAAATGATGGTTGTTATGGCAACCAGGATGATCATTATGATGATTTTGACCATAATTAGCATTTTAATCATAATAAATGATGGTTGCCATGCAACTATAATGATCATTATGATGAGCTTGATCATAATTGGCATATTAATCATAATAAATGATGGTTGCCATGGCAACCATGATGCTCATTATGATGATTTTGATCATAATTAGCATATTAATCATAATAAATTATGGTTTAAATGACAACTATGATGCTCATTATGATGATATTGCTCATAATTAGCATATTAATCATAATAAATGATGGTTGCCATGGCAACCATGATGCTCATTATGATGATTTTGATCATATATAGCATATTATTCATAATAAATTATGGTTGCTATGGCAACTATGATGATCGTTATGATGATATTGATCATAATT